GCCTCCTGGGCCAGGCTTGACGTGGAATGTGAAGAGGGAGGCACCGCGGTCTTCAGTCTGTTCAGGACAAATGAGGAAGCTAAGGCCGGAGAAATTCCAGGCTCAAGAGAACAAGGGAGAAGTATCTGCCTGAAACCTCTGGAGGCTGAGCAAACCCGCCGTGGAACATGTGTGTGTGTGCGCGTGTGTGTGCGTGTGCGCGCAGCATGTGTACATACATGTTGTTGGAGAGGTACAAGTTTGATTGTTGCGAGAAGTAATCAGCAGCAAAACTTAAAATACACATATTTTAAAAATAAAACGAATCCATACTTCTAAGTATTTCTGTAAAGGAAATAATCAGACGTCTTTAGAAAAAAGCGCTACAAATATGTTTTCTTCCATGTTGCTCATGCTAAGAAAAAATCAGCAATAACCTTTCTATTAATCGTTTATATAAAATAGTGCGTCGAGATGCTGAAGCGATGTGTAGCATTAATGAACACATTGCAGAAATGTGTTTACTGACGTGTTTGACCTTTAGTGACATGTTCCTAAGTGAAAAAGCGTGCTACCGAATGGCATATTGTAATACATCCTATCGTGTACACACACACCCCCTCTGTGTACTGAAACGTTAATAATAATCGTCTGAGTGCTTCTTTTCTTCCTTTCAGACCCGTGTTACTTAAACGTTCCGAATATGTGATTTCCTAACAAGAGAGAAAGGGAAGACGACCGGCAGGTAAATTTTTCGGTTTTGTTCTGTTTTCATTTCAGTGAAAACCCAAACGCATATGCTAGCTCCTGCGTGCGGCCACCGTATGAACTGGGTGTGACGATGTGCCTCGTGCGGGACAGTGCGGAACTTTCGCTGCCGTGTTTCCCAGACTGGAGGGCACAGACCCCTTGGGCTCCGTGGGTTCAGTGTGGAGAGGGCAGAGTTTCAGGGTTCAGGGAGCACTGACCGCGGTAAAGATCTGACCAGATTCTGCTGGGCACCCCGTTCTGGTGCCTCCCCACACTCGGGTGGCAGACGTTGGTCATCACAGAGGTTGAACTGCCTTAGTGTCCTGCTGCTGCTGTGAGAAATGACCGCAAACACAGTCGCTCACAGCCCTTGTTCGCCCTCTCGGGGCTCCGGAGGCAGAAGTCCAAAATGGTTCTCTGGGCCACTGCCCGTGTGCCAGCGGCTGCCTCCCTTCCAGGGGCGCGAGGGGAGAGTCTGTTTCCCGGCGTTTCCGGTTCCCGCGGGCGTCTGTCCCTTCTTCTGTCTTCAGAGCCAGCGGTCACGTGTTCCTCTCCAACGCTCCTGCCTCCTCGTCCCACTTTATAGACACGTGTGGGTCCATGGGGCCCAGCAGATACTCTGGCGTGATCCCCCACTCAGCATGCTTCGGCACATCCGCACAGTCCCTTTTGCCACGTCAGGTAACACAGTCACAGGTTCCGAGGGTTGGGCGTAGACATCTTTGGCCCATCTTTCAGGCAGCCACAGGGGCCTTTACCAGAGGGCTGGGCCCCGACCCCAGTGCACACGAAGGAAGGACGGCGCCCCCCGTCCACGTTCTCATATTTAAGTAGACCCACTGGAAGGCGCGCAGGCCCCCTCGGCCGACAGACGCTTTGCCCTACTTGGTAGCGTAGGGTCTGGTGCGCCTAGCCTGTCACTTAGGCCCTCTGTTAACTGGCAGCCGAGGATGATGGGAAGTGGTGACGCTCACAGTGCTGACCCTGCAATACCTCCCAGAACCCTGGGAGCATGGAAGGCCACCCTGTCCTGTCCCCTGCACTTCCCAGAGCTCACAGCAGCCCTGACGTGAGCCAGGCAGGCATGACGGCCCAGGCAGGGAGCAGTGGCCACTGTCCATGTCCCCAGGAAGCCACTTTCCGCTCGCCAGGCCCAGCCCTGCTGCCCAGGACACACAGGGCTCGGACCCTTGTGACGGGCAGCTCTCCAGCACTGAAGACGGTTCTCCAGTCCCGGCTCAGGACCCCACTCGGCCCCCTCTCCTCCCTGTGATGGGGATGTGGCTTCGAGGCACACTCGTTGACTCAGCCGGGGACAGCCCGAGGCTCAGGCCCGGAACCTGGATCCATAAAGATCCCCAAGAGGCTCTAGCAAGGCCGATGGCTGATGTGAGGACAGCTGCTTGGGAACTCGGGGCTAGACACGCCTCGGTGCTGGTGACCACGGCCCTTCTTTACGTAATTTCCAGTTGGCTCATGTGCTTCTCAAGCTGAGCTTCCTTGTTCTGAAGGCTGGAAAGACCAGAAGTCTGTCCTCATTCTAGACACCATCATTCAGCTCACGGTCTTATCATGGTCACACGGCTCTGTTGACTCAAACCGAGGCTGTGGGGACCAAATCATTAGATGTGTCTCCTTCCTGCGGCGGCTGGAGAGCCACCCCCCACACCCCGCAGCCCTGCACAGGGCCTTCTGAATGTCCCAGTGCACGGTCATGCCCTCCTTCACCCGACAGCTTCATCGAAACGCCCAACCTGTGCCCGGCACTAAGCTGGTCACCAGGACAAACGGCACATGGCACGTCCCATTCCTCCAGGGGCGTAGTTTACTGGGGGAGGCGGACCAGCAAATGGCCCGACATCACACAGCGTGAAAGGGCTCCCATGGCAACGGGTCACCGAGGGAGAGCCCGCAGCCCCCCGGCCCCCCTCACTCCCC